AAGACCTTGACGGAGATCCCGCTCCTGGCAGCTTGGATCGTATGAGGGGGCGTCAAACCATATAGCATTCCACCCGACTTTGTTTAAGAAACGTGACGCTTACAACTTTTCCACCAGAGCATTTACTATACTGACACACTACAATGACATATAATAGGTTAACTTACAAGTTGTTCTCTGGGGCTGGCCATGTGCATCGTTCCTTCCCAGCGCGGTGATTTTGGTAAAACTGTCAAGACAGACTATGAGGCCTGAGTAATAGCAGGTAACCGTAACATAGAGAGAGTACATTTCTATTAAAAACATATAAAGAAGAGTAGCGACTCCAGTCCAATTTGAGCAAGAGGGGACCTTATTGGCAACAGAAAGGCCACTGCACTAAAATACATTGTTTTTCGTTTTTTAATTGGACAAAAAAAGCACTGTCCTTCATCAAGTTGCGTGACACACATAGGATCACAAAAATCAATTATGAAAAAGTTTAATCTATGAAAATCTGTCGTGCAAGAGGCATCAAAACCCTGAACCTCACCAATAGATTTGCTGGGGGGATGACAGGCGTCGGCATTATGTAACCGCACAGATAGTAGTAGACAAGGCCATCATTTGTCATGTTACATCCTTGTACCTTAATATATATCTTAGAATCTTGTGAAATTATTAAAATAATTTGACCTTGTTACCTCATTTGAAATTCAATGCTACACTTTTAACAAATAAGTTTAGACTTCCTGTGCTGTTGACTTGTCATTTTTGCCTCAGGATATAATGTACGCATATTATAAAATTTAAATGTAACAGAAAGATTGTATAAATTCGTTACTTTATTATTGCTCGCCTCTATTTCTTTTCTCATGGAAAATATAATAATTAGTAATATTTTATTAGGATACCTGTTGCCTATTTTTAGATAAAGCTTTTTGTGTCTCGTATTAGAAACGTATGATAAACAATTTTTTTGCAACTACATGATTCTGTCAAATATTATATACAAATAAAATCGGAAAGAAATTAGTCGGTATTCTCTGCTAAAGGACTTATTAATACACGCTATAAAATTTTACTATTTCATGGGAGTGTATTTATTGCATGAAATTGTGCATACATAAGACATAATATGGTTATATATCTCAACAACATAAAAAATATTAAATGCTTCTTGTAGTTTTTATAATTTATTTAGAACCTTAGAAAGATGAAATCATGAAATACCATGAGAATATTATTTTTCTGACTGAAGTTATATTTCTTCAGTTGGTTCATTTTTGTATAGACTTTTGATGCTACAGTTCTCATTCGCTAATGGCTCAACCTTACAAGGAATGTAGATAGTTAATGTATCGTCCAAGACTAAGTTTATTTGAGCATCATTGAAGTCGTAGTTTTCAGAGACGGGAAACGTCTTTGACAAATTTTTATAGACATTACCGTGCTCATCTTGCACTTTTTTATGTATACCCTCGACTACGATTAATTTGTCTTCGACCTATAGTTGAAACAAAATTTATTGAGTATATTTATTGCTTTTCATATTATGTCATTTTTATTAATAATTTTTTTTGTTCTTTTATCTATCATTTAAATAAGATGTATGACGAATAAAACTTAACGATACTTACGAATACGTTGATTTCTTCCAGAGCAAATCCTGCGCAGTCTACCTCTTTATAAAAATCTTCCTACAAAAATCATCGACCATTAAATTACATAGAGTTTATTTAAAAACCAGAGTGTGGGACTAGGAGTCCCTCTTTTTTTCGTTGGTTACGGTGGTATATTTATGTCTTTCCTGTACACTTTTTATAGATAAAAGGCTCAAGAAATTTAAAAAAATAATTTTTAAGGTTATTGTTAGGCAAAAAACGAGAAAGAAATCCTACATATTTGTAACAATTTTGCAAATATGCTTTTATTTTCTCACTAATTTTCTGTCTTGATTTTATAAAAAAATATTTAGAGGCCGAATATTTTAGGTAATGTCTTTACATAACTCAACGCCTATTTCTTTGTGTGTCGCGATGTTATTTTCTCCAAAAAAAACCTGTAAAACTCCATATTTTTGCTCTATCTTATTTTCTTTTTAAGATTCAGCGCATTTTGTAATATTGGTTGGTTATACTATTTTATAATTACTGATTTAATAAATACTGGCTATCTGCATCGATCTGCCATTCATGCAAAAACTTTTAAAAATGTTTTTTATTGGAATAATAATATTATTTAGTGTATATAGTGTTGATATTTTTTATTTTACTGATTTTAATATTTTAATTCACCACCAATTTTCTACTGGTTATGTGATTATGGCACCTGAGCTTAGACGGGTATAAGGGTCGTGTTGATGCATGTCAACCAGAAAACTTCTCCTGTTCATTTAAATAACATTCGGTTGCCAAAATTCTTATTGCATTTAATTCGTTATCAAATTATTTTCAATTAATGTTTTTTTATCAGCCAGCAAAAATGGGAGTGCACGCTTTTTTCTTACTCTGTCTATGGCTAATGGGTCTCTGCGCTGGCTGGCTCTCTTCTTCTCTCTCTATCTTTGTTACACCTACCCTCTGTAGAAGTGCACCTCCTCTCGAAAAGTGCACGATTTTTCTTACACTTTTTGCCTGATGGGTCTCCGTTTCCAACCATTCTTATACTTAGGAAATACACGGGAATTCTATATTTTCCCATCGTAACCCGCGATAAAAAACTTCGTTCTAAAAAATTAGTAATAATTCAATATAGAAATGGTCTTTTACCTTGTGTGCCTCAACGATGGAGGCACTGTTGTCACCGTAGCTCTGATAAATTGGTAAGACGAGCTTTTTATTATTAGAAGTTGCACAGGGAATAGATCGTGAAGCAGAATTCAGTTTAATGTATTCAATGGCTGCGAGTAATTTTTCTTCGGTATACTTCGGTATTTCCTGATTAATCATGATAATTTAGAACAAGAAATTTGAATACAAATAATCGGTAAAACTGCCGCTTTAACAGAGTTGACAAGGGCGATTGAAGAATATCGAACTGATTACTGTTTAAATTTGATATGCGCTCTGTGTGCTACTTGTACAGCTGAAGGAGCAACAATCACTGCTTGTACTAATACTAAACGCTGTCGTCGCTTACTGCAGTTGGACTATTCGAGTTAATGACTAGCGCTGCGCGCATTGTTCCGAAAGAGAATTGGCGGGGAATACTCCTTCAGATACAGAAGAGCCATGCTATCATCGCTCTATTGTAGTGTCCCTTTTCCACCTAGTAGAGCTGCTCTCTCACGGTAGACAAGCAGCTTCTCGAAAGTGTCAAGGGGCAGCTTTACTTACTTATTAAGTTGGCTTGGGTGATTTTGATCAAAATGATTGATTCTTCGACTTAATAAAGCACACTTTATTTACATGATTTCGAAATTTTAGAGATTATTATCTTTTAAATTAAGCTTTGACATTTATTTAGTTTTAATTTTTTATTCTGTTACGAATGTACAGGTGACCNGTTTTGAAAAAAAATAAAAATAGATTTAAAAAGAGTTACTTATGTTAATTCTTAAAATTGCAAGAAGTTTAAAGTATGGTGTTAGAATGACTTATTTCAACGGCAAATACGGCCGATGACTATATAGTATATTGTTAGAGTTTACTTAATATTTTATACTAATAACAAAAAGTTTATGAATTTACTTAAATTTTTTGTGTATAAACATAAAGTAATCTTTCGTTTAAGTTAAACTACCTGCGTACGCTAAATAACGACGTACATCAAATTCATATGATTTCCAATTATTATTGAAATTTAAAATTGCAATTTTCTTTGAAGAAATCATCTTTTGTTTTTTTTTTCCGTACAATAAATTTAACGAGATTCATTGGCCGACGAAAGAGTTTAAATTCGTAAAGAATAACTCATTTTTCTTTCAAATATGCAGCCGATGTTTGAATGCAGTATCGAAGGTGACTGTCACCTAACGTTGAAAATCTAGCCATCGGAAAATCTAAAAATACCTCTGTATGATTTGTATATTTATATATTAGGGCTCTATTTAAAAATGCATCTGGCAGTAAATCAGTATCCGGAGGTCAACAACTGAACCCTTTACTTGAATTCTGCCCAGCTTTTATTGAGCGAGTTTTTTATTTCTCAGTCTGTTCGTTAATTGATGTGTCAATTGCTTGCGTTCAAAATATAACAGTAAGACCGGTTCCTTATAATTTGTTACCTTCTAGTCTTTCCCATTATACATCGAAAATATTTTAGAAACCTCCTATCCTTATATCATAATCGCGGGAATTTCTTTAAAAAATTTTGTTATCAATACATTCCTTCCGGTTATCACAGTTAGTTATTTTACAAATGATTTTTGCAAAGCAATAAAAGCTGCTCTACAGAATAGTTTGAANCCTCCTATCCTTTTATCCAAATCACGGGAATTTCTCTGAAAAATTTTGTTATTAATACATTCCCTTCGGTTATCCCAATTAGTTATTTTACAAATGATTTTCGAAGGGCAATAAAAGCTGCTCTACAGAATAGTTTGAATTTATTTGATTCTCCATTATAAACTGGTTGAAAAAATAATATTTATTATACACTTATTGAAATTCAAAGTCACTTGAGCTATTTACAATAATAAAATGATCATAAATACATTAATTTTTGATTGTGGAAATAGAGATCTTTCTGTCATGGTCTGGTGGTGGAAGAATATCTGAGAATTCTCCTGCAGACTCCAGCTTTTCCTCAGGATCTCTGATCAAAATCCTCTATCTGCGTACATCACCGCAACATAAACGAATAGCAACGTTGCCGTATTGTTTTATCTCACGCTTTTGTAACGTCTTATCTGTAATTTAAAGCAACAAATTACAATTATACGCTGGAATGTGTGAGGGCCATCTTGTGTAATAGCATAGTAATTACTTTAAATTATTTATCAATTTAAAATTTTTCTTTATCGTCGTTGTGAGCAGTACCTTCAATTGAGTGTATGTGTGATTTTCCTACGTGTTTTCAATGTGATAACTAAATATCGTAAATTGTTTTATCGCAAGAAACGCTAGTAGAAAGAAAGTTTAAATGATAATATACAATTTTTATTTTGATTATCATATTCAAGTCGCATTTTTTATACAAAAGCTGCTACTTTTTTCGGAATTACTTATGTCTATTAAATCATTTTTTGTTTTATTCTATTTTGAGTGATAACAAATGCTTAGAGAATAATACTTTATTCTTGTTTAGTACAGAGAACTTAATACATTTTTGTCTAAGAAAGACCACTAGTCTTTATACTTAATGGCAAAAGTGTTACTTCTAGAGCAAAAATCGTTTTATACGATAAAATACGGACCACGATATTTATAACTAAAAAAACACGGAATAAACGAAGCCTTGTATAATATTTCGGCGTTTTACGCGAGACAAAAGTTCTTTACAATACCCACAATTACAGAGCAACGCTCACTTTAATTTTTAATGTTAAAGTAAATCGACCGAAGATATAAACAGGTACAGCTATGCAACTCCTCCATACTCTTTAATAATGCGTACCTCTTCGTGTTAAGGATACAGAGTCACACCCAACGAATTTTCCACGACTATGCTGCTCGAGGCACATGTCGTATTAAACGTCATCTCTTTCTTTACCCAAAAAATATAGCCTTACTAGCATGACATCAAGGCTGTTTGCTCTATCTCTCATTGTCAAAACAGTGCAGGTATCCCTTCCAACTGACTAACCCTGGCTTACTCATCTTTGACATCATTTTGTACGTGTACGAAACAAGTTGGTTTCCACGTCATTATAGTCAGAGAACACAAGCGAGAAGAAAGACAAGTATTATAGAATCAGAAACCAGCATTAGCAGCTATATTTATTATTTATACAACACTATACCCTCTTACTCTTTCTACTTTACAGTAGACGCAACTAGATCCGTGCTATATACTTGATGATTTTGCCTCGTTCTTCATTAATGAATATTGTATACTTGTATAAGCGGTTTCTGGGTATACGAATGTTATTATTGAGTCTCTGAAGAATAAAAATATAGCCTTACTCATACTCTCTTGTTTCTACTTGGATTCTATCACTTCTAAAATTGTATACTTAAAAGCTAAATACCATTTAAAACTCAAGTATGACGATAATTTTTTATCTTGCTATGGCTCACTCGTTACAGCTTCCAATAATACTAACCTCCTATATTTTCATTTATAAAGCATACGATGACATTCAACATTTTTATCATCGTTTGATGAGAATAGCTATAGTAAGAATCACTCTGTTCAGTTATTTTATAAAGTCCAGTAGTAAATGACTTTATTCACGATTTTTACACGGAAAATACGTGTTTGTTTCATGAGTTTTGAGAGAAAATAAAAATAGCTTTGAAAAGAATTACTTATGGTAATTCTTCAAATTGCAAGAAGTTTAAAGTATGGTGTTAGAATGACTAATATCAACGGCAAATACGGCCGATGACTATATGGTATATTGTTAGAGCCTACTTGATATTTTATACTTATGACAAAAAGTTTATGCATTTACTAAAATTTTTTGTGTATAAAAATAAATTAATCTTTTGTTTGAGTTAAACTACCTGTGTACGCTAAATAACGACGTACATCAAATTCATATTATTTCCCAATGATTTAAATAATTAAAAATTGCAACTTTCTTTGAAGAAATCATCTTTTGTTTTTTTCTTCCGTACAATATATTCCACGAGATTCATCGGCCGATCAAAGAGTTTTAATTCGTAAAAAATAACTCATTTTTCTTCCAAATATGCAGCCGATTTTTTAATGCAGTATAGAAGGTGACTGTCACCTAACGTTGAGAATCTAGCCACCGAAAAATCTAAAAATACCTCTGTATAATTTGTATATTTATATATAAAGGCTCTATTAAAAAATGCATCTGGCAGTAAATCAGTATCAGGAGGTCAACAACTGTACCCTTTAACCCTAATTTCTAAGAAACCTCATGTATTAAGGTTACTAATGTTCTATTTTTTTTAGTTATTACAGCACTAATGATGACAAAGATAGTAATTATATGAATAAAAAAAAAATTATATTGTACGAGTAATAAATAAAAAAAAAATAATAATAATAACTAGTAATAATTCTATTAACCTTCCTCTAGGGTGTGCAAGACCTTGACGGAGATCCCGCTCCTGGCAGCTTGGATCGTATGAGGGGGCGTCAAACCATATAGCATTCCACCCGACTTTGTTTAAGAAACGTGACGCTTACAACTTTTCCACCAGAGCATTTACTATACTGACACACTACAATGACATATAATAGGTTAACTTACAAGTTGTTCTCTGGGGCTGGCCATGTGCATCGTTCCTTCCCAGCGCGGTGATTTTGGTAAAACTGTCAAGACAGACTATGAGGCCTGAGTAATAGCAGGTAACCGTAACATAGAGAGAGTACATTTCTATTAAAAACATATAAAGAAGAGTAGCGACTCCAGTCCAATTTGAGCAAGAGGGGACCTTATTGGCAACAGAAAGGCCACTGCACTAAAATACATTGTTTTTCGTTTTTTAATTGGACAAAAAAAGCACTGTCCTTCATCAAGTTGCGTGACACACATAGGATCACAAAAATCAATTATGAAAAAGTTTAATCTATGAAAATCTGTCGTGCAAGAGGCATCAAAACCCTGAACCTCACCAATAGATTTGCTGGGGGGATGACAGGCGTCGGCATTATGTAACCGCACAGATAGTAGTAGACAAGGCCATCATTTGTCATGTTACATCCTTGTACCTTAATATATATCTTAGAATCTTGTGAAATTATTAAAATAATTTGACCTTGTTACCTCATTTGAAATTCAATGCTACAATTTCAACAAATAAGTTTAGACTTCCTGTGCTGTTGACTTGTCATTTTTGCCTCAGGATATAATGTACGCATATTATTATATTTAAATCTAACAGAAAGATTGTTTGAATTCGTTACTTTATTATTGCATGCCTCCATTTCTTTTCTCATGTAAAATATGATGATTAGTAATATTTTATTGGGATATCTGTTGCCTATTTTTAGATAAAGCTTTTTGTGTCTCGTATTAGAAACGTGTAAGAATCAATTTTTCTGCAACTACATGATTATGTCAAATATTACATACAAATGAAATCGGAAAGAAATTAGTTGGTATGCTCTGCTAGAGGACTTGTTAATACACGCTATAAAATTTTTCTATTTTATGGGAGTGTATTTATTTTATGAAATTGTGTATACAAATGACATAATATAGTTATATATATATCAACAACATAAAAAATATAAAATGCTTCTCGTTGTTTTTATCATTTGTTTGAAACTTTCGAAAGATGAAATCATATAATACCATAAGATGATTATTTTTCTGACTGAAGTTATATTTCTTCAGTTGGTTCATTTTTGTACGGACTTTTGACTTTACAGTTCTAATCCGCTAATGGCTCAACCTTACAAGGAATGTAGATAGTTAATGTACCGTCCAAGAATAAATGTATTTTAGCATCGTTGAAGTCGTAGGTTTCAGAAACGGGAAACGTCTTTGACATATTTTTGTAGACATTACCGTGCTCATCTTGCAACTTTTTATGTATACCCTCGACAACGATTAATTTGTCTTTGACCTATAGTTGAAACAAAGTTAATTAAGTATTTTTTTTGCTTTTGATATTATGTCATTTTCATTAATTATGTTTTTTGTTCTTTAATTTATCATTTAAATTATATGTTTGACGAATAAAACTAAACGATACTTACGAATACAGAAATCTCTTCCAGAGCAAATCCTGTGCAGTCTACCTCTTCATGAAAATCTTCCTACAAAAATCATCGACCATTCAATTACATAGAGTTTATTTAAAAAACCAGAGTGTGGGACGAGGAGTCCCTCTTTTTCTCGTGGGTTACGGTGGTATATATATGT